ACACACACACACACACATACACACAGACACACACACACACATACACACAGACACACGCGCACAGACACACACACACACAGACACACAGACATACACACAGACAAACACACACACATACACACAGACACACGCACACAGACACACACACACACACAGACACATGCACACACACAGACACACGCACACACACACACACACACAGACATACACACACACAGACATACACACAGACACACACACACACATACACACAGACACACGCGCACAGACACACACACACACAGACATACACACACACAGACATACACACAGACAAACACACACACATACACACAGATCAGATCAGGACAAAGAGCAAGATTATGTCCTGTATTACACAGAACACAGAACTCAACTTAATAAACTTTGTTTTCTGTTGTTCCTCTCCTCTTATTTTACCATCTGTCCTTCATTTGTCATCAGTCAAAAAATCTTTAAGGAATGTGAACTGAGCTCATATTTGGAATTTATTTCATAATTTAATCCTCTGTGTTTCAGATGGGATCAAATATGAATCCTCTACGATTCAAATAAGATCCTGCTGGATGAACTGAAATTCCTACTGGATTTGTGAAGTCTTATTTGATACCTGGAAATGTATTCAATATTGACTATTATTTAACAGAGCTGTAACTAGACAGTTAAAGGAAATCACAGGAGAGCTGAAGGAATTTTAAAACCCCAAAATATTTTAAAGTCTTAAAGAGGCCCACTATTATGATTGCACTACGTCCCAAAGTTTGGAGTCAGTAAGATTTTTATTTTTATTTTTTAAAATGAATACTTTCAATTAGCATGGATGCAATAAATTGATCAAAAGTGACAGTAAAGACCATGTTAATGTTATAAAATATTTCTATTTCAAATAAATGCTGTTCTTTTAAACTTTCTATTCATCTGTGAATCCTGAAAAATAAAATGCATCACAGTTTCCACAAAAATATTGTGCAGCACAACTGTTTTCAACATTGATAATAATCAGAAATGTTTCTTCAGCAGCAAATCAGCATATTATACTGATTTCTGAAGATCATGTGACACTGAAGACTGGAGTAATGATGCAATCAAGTACATTTTGCAATATATATTACAACAGACATCCCTTCTATCAAATTGAAATAATATTTCACAATTTGACCTTTTTTACTGTACTTTTGATCAGATAAATGCAAGCTTGGTGAGCAGAAGTGACTTATTTCAAATACATTGAAAAAAATCTTGCCAACCCCAAACTTTTCAACTGTAGCTAGAATGCAAAAATAACTTTTCAATACATTCCTTTATGAATCATGTGCACATTCCTTGCTCTCTTTCACTCACTCTGTCATCGACCAGCAGCTCCATGGGGTTGTTTCCCCACTCGATGAGCACCAGCTCGTTGGCCTGTCCGGGCACGGAGTAGGAGAAGGGCGTCCCGAGCCCCGGCCCGATGCCAGCCTTCATCCACAGACACAGCGTGAAGGAGAAGATCTCGTGCAGCAGCGAGTGCTTCACACGACCGTACATGTAGTTGGTTCTCATGGGGAAGCCGATCTGGAAAGCCTCCGTGGGTCTGCTGTTCTCTCTAGAGCCTGCCGAGATGATAACCAGGGTCTTACTTTTTTAGATTAGATGAATCTACCAATTCATATTACTGATTTTTGAAGTTATGACCAGTCTTGAAGAAAAAAATAAAAATAAGACTAGTCTAAGATAAGTCCTAGTGTAACTAGTCTAATCCAGACTCAAAGAAGGAGGAATGAAGACAATGCAAATTTGTCAGAATATATGATTTTTTTTTGTTGAGAGCTTGTCTTAATACTTTATGGGATCTGTAAATTGTATAAATAAATTTAAAGACAATAAGTTAATTTAATTTAGTTAATTCATCTTAAATAATTATTTTTTGTTAGTTTTTTTACTGTTGATTTTATATTAATTACACTGTATTTCTAAATTTGCTGATTTCATGTCTGCATTATTATCTGGATTATGTAACCAGATTCTAAAAAGTGTTCATAATCAGATTACAAATACTTGCGTGATTACATATTATTCACACAGTAAATTATTCATAATTAATTCATTTGCTCTTTTACTTCACGAACCCGTTTCAGGAAACCGTGGTGTATTGTCATCTATAATTGCAGTCCATATAGTTGATAACAAAGAATGGAATTTATTTTCTTTCTCTTTGTGTAATTATGTATCAAAATGGTACAAAATAATTTCATTTAAAATTATGTGATAAACGAGTTAGGTCAGAAGTAATCTAAAAGACATCCAAAACTACTCTTACGTAATCGAATAGATTAGATTACTAACTACAATGTAATTTATAATCAGTAACAGTATCTACCCAGCACTGTCTAAATTTCTACATTAAAATTTAAATGAAGACATTCTCACTAATTTTTTTTTACGAATCGCACCCTCACTGTAAAAAATGACCGTGAATTTAACGGTAAAAGACTGTAAAAATGCTACAGTAAAAGCCTGTTAAATGGTTAACGGTAAATTCCCCTGCTATATACGGTGAAAAACTGTATTGGACATTACATGTATTGGACATTAATTTTACGGTAGTATACTGTTTTTGGAAGTGAAAAAGACGGTATAATTTACAGTGAATAACCGTAAATTGACATTCCCAGAATTCCCTGCGTTACATTTCAAATTTGTTTCTTCTTAGTTTTTTCTTATCAGTTTTGTATATTAAGGTTGTATGTTACACCTAATGTTGTTAAATGAATGTGTATTGCATTATTTCAGTTTCATGTGTGTTACCGTGATGGTGTTTAGTGTTTGTGTGAATGACACTGTGCTCCTTCTATATATGTTATTATCTAAAAGCTGCTTGTGATGGGCTTTGGTTCATCGTGTGGCTTTCTCATCACCGTCTGCTTTTGCTGGTTATCAGCGTATTACAAAGCTACAAAACAGATTTCAGTACTTCAGTAGGTTGGTATATTAACATTATATCAGATAATGAAATTACGGTATTTAACTGTAAATTGAAGTTAAACCCGTAAAACCTAAAACGTTGCTACCGTATTTCTTACAGTAAAATTCCGGCACAGCTGCCGTTTCTTTACCGTAAATTTTACGCTGTAAATTGAAGTTAAACCCGTAAAACCTAAAACGTTGCTACCGTATTTCTTACAGTAAAATTCCAGCAACCACAGCTGCCGTTTCTTTACCGTAAATTTTACAGATTTTTTTTTACAGTGCTGATAAAAGGTAAAAACAGTTCATACCAACTTAGAACATGGTATCTAACTTTTTACTGTTCATAGATGGTCTACTAGCCCTAATCATCTTGACCAAGAACTATCAGGTCCATCATCCAGCTGATGAACAATCTAGAGCATCTAAGGACCAAAACTGGCCTGATTGGTCCAGCTGAAGTGGTCTTAAGCAGGGTTTTCCAGCAGAGTTCATCTAAATTCGCCCTTACCCGTGTCAGTGAGCCTATGCTGCAGTTGACTGAGAACCGCGTCCAGTTTGCTGTGAACTCCACTCTGTGCTTCTCCGTGGCCTTGTAGGTTATAAGACAACCTCTCGAAGCCATGTTCGGAGACTTTGTTGTCATGGTGACTGCTGTCTTGGTGTCCGTTGTCGTGGCTGTTGTCGTCATGGTGGCTGTCATCATGGTGATCGTCGTCGTGGTGATCACTGTGGTGGCTGTTGTCGTGAGGATCACCGTGGTCGTCATGGCCGTCGTGGTCTCTGTCATCATGATGGCTGTGGTCGTCGTGAGCGTCGCCATGGTGACCGTCATCATCCTCATGGTCAGTGTGAGCGCCGCTGGTTAGCGATGCAGAATGGTGTTGCATCTGTTGTTCCAGAGCGCTGATCTTCCTCTGCAGGAGGTTCTTCAGCGAGCTGGAGTAGCTGGTGGAGGTGTTTCTCGTCTGCCAACACAACCACAGCAGTCTGAGAAAAGGCCTGCGCACAGCTGTACTGTACGCTGCTGATCTTGGTAACGGCTCCTAACTACTTGCTGTGAAAAAAAGCACCTCATATCTTATAGTATTTGATAAATTGACAACCAGGGCTATTTTCATTACCCTGATGAAACACATTTCTACACCACATGTTTAAAAGCAAGAGAAGCAGTGTCCCGTCAGCTTCATCTCACTTTGATTGACAGTTTCAAAAACGGTCACACCTTGGTTGTTGGCATAATTTTTGAGTGTATTTGTTGTTGTTGTTTAATAAAATTAACTTCATTGAGGTAGTAACAATAAAATTATGCACTTTAGGGGGATTTCGGTTATTTTAGGTTTATTATCATCTTTGTTGCCCCTCTTAATCATTGCCCCCCTTGGCTGTTGGGGGTAATTTTTTTCACCCAGAACAGTAAAAGTGTAGCTTTTTTAATGAAATAGTATATCGCTAACATAAAGTAGTAACAATACAATGTTGTACTTCTTTTGAGATTTAGATTATTTGATTTTTATTTAGATCTTATTCAGATCGTATTTACATGTACATTCACTACAGTAAAAATCTACACTTCTGAGTTGTAATATAAAGCCAATATAAGAATATATCATGTATTTGGGCAAGACTGCTGCCATCTGGTGAAAAAAAAAGAAGAAAAATAACATGACTTCATACTTGATTCCATTCAAAACTTATTTTAAAAATAGTTTTTTAAGGGTCTTTCTCATTAATTTCCAGTGGTCCGCAAACAGCCAAGTTTATGACCTTGAAGTCCAGAACTAAGTCCATTTTTTTCAGTTTGTTCAGATTGCATATCAAAAATCCCTTGTACTGTATTATTAATAATCAATATATATTAATTATATATTATATGAATCAGGGTTGTTATAGTTAACTAAAACTAAAACCATAAAAACATTTTACTTTAAATAAAATAAATGTTAACGGAAATAAAATATATAAAACTTCCAAAAAACTTATTTTATTTTAGCTAGTTTACATTTCTCATTTTCATTTAGTTTAACTTGTACTCAAATAAATAAAACTACAAAATACTATACTATTGACTATACTATAAAAACAATATAGACATATTTAAAACAACAAAAACGAATAAAAATGGCAAAAACACATCAAATCGGATGACAGCAAAACTTGAATTAAATTGACTGGAATAATGGCAATATTGTTTTGACGATGTTTTGCAACATTAACACTGTTATTTTCCTGTTCGTTACTCTGAAGCAGCTTTGAAACCATCTGTGTTGTATTAAACGCTATAGAAATGCATGTAAATGTCTACCTGCAGGTTGTCCAGCCGTTCTTTCAGGCTCTGCAGCATCCTGCTCATCTGCTCCGGCGTGGACGAGGCTGAAGGAATCTCCCCCGTCACCTGCTTCTCGCTCAGCGCAGCTTTCCCACCATGATGCCCTCCGACCCCGTCGCCATAGTGACCCAGCTCCAGCCCGAGGTGTGCCGTGTCGGGTGCCGTGGGGTAGGCGTGATGGGCGTGATGGGCCAGGTGTGCGGGTGTGCGGCTCAAGCCCTCGCACAGGTTCAGTTTGGCGGTGAGCTCTCGGATGGTCTCCCTCTGGTCCAGGATGGTTTCCTTCTGCTGCACCAAACTCTCCCGCAGGTGCAGGATTGTCACTTTGGCCTCCTCGGACATTCCCCACCAGCCGTTGCTGTTCCCGCCGTGGTGTCCGGCTCCGGGGCCGCCCGCTGTTGGGAAGCACCCGGGATCGGCATCAGAGGGAATGGGGGTGCAGATGAAGCGAGGATGAGGGTTGTAGTCAGAACCCGGCATTCCTGTCCCAGCACACACAGAAAAACAGATGGCACAGAAGAAGAAGGAGAAAAGCCACTCACTCATCCTTAAGCTTGCTGGATGCATTTTTGTTGGATGAATGCTTAAAGGTTATCCTTCAGTTATTTGAAGTTTTAAAGCAGTCCGTCTACACTCGTATCTGTCTCGTCTTCTAAATCCTGTAAAACTGTCTTTTGCTGCTTACGGTGTCTTTCTCAGCCTCCTCCTCTCCAAGATCATCAGCCGCTCAGAGACCATGTGCATTTACATGTAATCCGTCTGCTCTTGGCTCTTCGGAGAGGCTCATCTAAAGCCTGGAGAAAGAAAGAAAGAAAGAAAGAAAGAAAGAAAGAAAGAAAGAAAGAAAGAAAACTCTTGTCATTATAAGTTTTCAGAAGACAGGAGGATCTTTTAATTTAAACTATGAACTTTTAAATTCTTAAATTGCTCTTTTGACCAACTTAATGTGAACTTTATTATATCTTTACATGTAATTGCATAATTCCTTTTGTCTTATGGTCAAAGCTACTGATGAATGTACTGACAAGCATTTATGGTAAACTAAAATATACCTTAATGTCATTTCTATTGAAACTTGTATTTTCAATATATTTGTAATTACACATTTGTAAAGATGAAGTTGCAATTTAGTGCATTTAAATTATATGAACTTTAAAAGTAATATCAAATAACACACTACAGTTAAAATGATAATCAGGTACTTTACATTTGCTTTAGTATGTTAGTCAACACATCAGAATAAGTGCACTTCTTTAAAGCACAACTAATGATTATTAAAACAATGATTTAAAATGTACTTTAAAACATTTAATTTAACATTATTAGAAAGTGCACTTTTTTTAAAGTGTATTAATGTGTGTAAAGAAACAAGTGCAGTCTTTTATTAAAAATGTTTATATATATATATATATATATACTTCTAAGATTTGAAGTACACTACAAATGCACATTTGGTACACTGAAAAAAATGTTTCATTCATCCAATTAAAAAAATTGCCTTAGGGCAAGTTATTTATTTTTCATTGGCTCAAGTTAAAAAATATAGATGTGAATCATTACCCTACATTTTTTAATTGGATGAATGAAACGTTTTTTTCAGTGTACAATTAAGTGCACTTCTTTTTCACAAGGTCTATGACCCTTATGACCTATGACATTACAACAACTTCAGTTGCAATTGATAAAATTTTAAGCTGTTTTAAGCGAGTGCAATTAATACACAAGGAATAACATATTATAAATGGCACATAAATACATTTCCACCACTGCACAGTACAGACTATACCATCATGCCATCCATCCCTACTTCTATTTTCTGCTTAAAAATAAAGACTCCTGTTTTAACCAAACAGGACACCACAGGAGATCTATTGGTAACTTTAGTTTAGGGACCAGTTCTCATTGTTAACTAGTTGCTTATTAGCATGCATATTACTAGCATATTGGCTGTTTATTAGTACTTATAAAGCACATATTAACACCTTATTCTGCATGAGCATATTTTAGATCCCTTAATCCTTAAAACCCACACCTAAACTTAACAACTACCTTACTAACTAGGAGTTTATTGAGGCAAAAGTCGTATTTAAAAGTTCATAGTGAGAATCGGTCCCCAAACTAAGATGTGACTGATCCTGATCTTCAATGAATTTTTTACTTACTGATATTTCAAAGAATCTCAGAAACCCACAGACTAATCTGAAGAACCTGTAATTTGGGATTATCAGTTCCTTGAAGCTACTGAGTTACAAGTGGAAGTGTGTACGTCAGAGTCTCTCCTAATGAGGATAAATCAAGGAAAGAGTCGTCACCGAGGGTCTGCAGAGGATTAGGGTGTGTTTGAGAGAGACGGGTCTGTACTCTATCTACTCTACCTGCTGAACTTTGCCCATTAATTGGATTAATTAAGTGCTTGGACTGATGGCTGGCAGGAAGGCAGCTGGAGTTTCATACTGTCCACAACTTAAAGAAGAGAGGGAGCGTTGAGTGCAACTGTAGAGTATTGGTATGCAGAATAGAATTTAATAAAGTAGGTTTAAAATGGAATGAAATGCAGAGAAATCCTGCTGAACTTTCTAGTACAAACATGTGCGATAAGCATTTGGGGCAATACCAGACACATTAAAATATATTTATAATCAATGTTTGAAATGATAGAAATAGACATTTGCATTTCATTTGTATGTATTTTGTTATATTTACTAAAGTTGAATTTTATGGATCATGCTGGAAGAATACATCATTTATTAAGTGATGCCAAACAACAATTTATAATCAATAGATTACAATTTTGAAGTCAGTATTTATGTGTAGTTATCTGAAAATGTGGTGGACGTTTGTGATCCTGTTTATCAAAGTTCAAATTTGTCGAGATGGCTGTTAATTGTCGTGTCATTATTGAACTTGAGAGAAAATTGTACAGTATTTTACCAAATGTTAATGTTTGTTACTATGGAAATTCTTGTGTTGGATTTTATTTCAGTAAAATCCTCTTCCTGTCAATCCAATTCAACATCCAATTTTTTGTTTAAGGGTTTTTTTGTTGTTGTTTTTTTAGATGCAAACAATATTGTGATGCTTTCTGGCAAAATTCAAATTTGTTTTGATGGCTGTTAACAGTTGCAACATTATTGAATTTGAGAAATACGTCTAATAACTTATGTGCTGAATGTCTTTGACCTGCCCTTGAGTACTCTTTCTGCCATTTCAATTCCAACTTCAATTCAACGTCGAGTTGAATTTGGCCAATTCCATTCAAACTCCTTCTTGTGAATTGAAAGAGAGCCAGAATGTTGCTCATCCCTGACTGACATTTATACAATTCTGATTCAAATAAGTCCAGGCCTCACGATCTCTCCATCAGTAACGGATAACTTAGATTACTACGTTTGTCTAGTGGTTTGTCTCGTAGCGGTTGTGTCAGTGCATCTGTCAGTGGTTCGCATCGATCGCGGAAGGATTCTGCCGTGAGACAGGCAACCTTTGATGAAACCAGAAAAAGTACACTTGACCTCAATACTAAACAATATGAAAAATAAGAGCACATACACTGTAAAACAAATTCCGTAAAATTTACCGTAAAAAATACGGTAGCAACATTTTAGGTTTTACGGTTTTAACTTAAATTTACAGTTAAATACCGTAATTTCATTAACTGATATAATGTTAATATACCAACCTACTGAAGTACTGAAATCTGTTTTGTAGCTTTGTTATACACTGATAACCACCAAATGCAGGAGGTGATGAGAAAGTCACGTGATGAAACAAAGCCCATCACAAGCAGCTTTTAGATAATAACATATATAGAAGGTGCACAGTGTCATTCACACAAACACTAAACACCATCACAGTAACACACATGAAACTGAAATAATGCAATAAACATTCATTTAACAACATTAGGTGTAACACACAACCCTAACATACAAAACTGATAAGAAAAAACTACAGAAGAAACATAGTTATTTCAACAAAAAACATCAAAGTTGAAATGTAACGCAGGTAATTCTGGGAATGTCAATTTACGGTTATTCACTGTAAATTATACCGTCTTTTTCACTTCCAAAAATAGTATACTACTGTAAAATGTATGTCCAATACATGTAATATCCAATACAGTTTTTCACCGTATATAGCAGGGGAATTTACCGTTAACCATTTAACAGGTTTTACTGTAGCATTTTTACAGTCTTTTACCGTTAAATTCACGGTCATTTTTTTACAACTTCAGCCACTCATATACAGCAAGGCTATCTCACTCATGAGTTATGAACTGCATGACCAGAACTGGATCGTGTGCTTGCGTGCACATGTGTGTGCGGGAAGGTCATGCGTGTCACAAGCTTAGAAAGCGAGACAGATGGCAGCCGCTGAGAACAGCGTGAAGCCGCTTCCCCAGTCTCTCTCAATCCGCACTTCATCTCGGTTTATCTTCCTGTCTAAATGCACACGATTAGCCTGATTGTCGGGTTTGAATGAAGGCAGAACTTTAAGTCAGACACATACAATGCAGTTTAATGCGCCTTCTGCTGAATCCATAAAAATTGTATTAGCAACCGTATCTAGTCTAGCAAAAAACCATCTGGATCTTCAAATGCCTGTTAGTTTAAAAAATGACTGCTTTAGTCATAACACAAAATGTATTTAATGTGAAATATGTCATCTTGCATTTAAATATCTCTAATGTTTTTTCTCAGATATTTGAGAGCATTTACGGTGCTACAACAGCTGTAAATACATTCAGAATCATGGCTAAAAGAAAACCTGTCAGAGAAATTTATGCAATTAACCTCGTGGAAGAGAAGTAACTTAATAACACTCTGAAAATGACACTTAATTGCATGTTATTGACATTTAAATGAAAATGCATTGCAATTTTAATTTGTATTAAATGTAATTAGACGAACTTCAGAGTGTTTTTGACCTACTTAAGTAGGATTACTTTTATTGTTGTAAATTTAAATGTATTACTGAATGATATGCTACATTCAAAATTATAATCAGCATATGCTTTATTGTGTTAGTCAACATATCAAAATAAGTGTACTTTAAAGCACAACACAAGATTATTAAAACATTCAAAATGTACTTTAAAGTAAAACATTTAATTTGACACTCTTACAAACACACTTTTTAAAAGTGTACTTAAGTGTGTTAAGAAACTTAGCCATGAAAGTGTTTCTCTTTAAGTACAATTAAGTATTTTTTTCCGGCACTTACTGTTTTTTTTTTATTTTTATATTGTATTGAATGTGTGCAAGTGCACAAGAAGAGAGATTAGAGATATAAACTTTATAATTTTTTTCTTAAAAAGACCAGAAAGATCCTGGAAGCTTCTTACACTGTTTGAGTGAGATATTAACAATACCAACAAAATCAGTATTACAGTTGTGATTAATGCAAATGTTTTAATCATTAACTCCTCAAATACAACGGCAACCAAAGCACAATTCATAAAGAAAACATCTGACGAGTTTTAAGACATGAACATCTGTTGATCAAATGAACAAACCATAGACTCTCTGAAAATAAGCAGCTAAGCAAGCCGATTTAAGTTCTCTGTTTAAGACACTGCTCATGAAATATAATCATATAGAGTATGATACAAAGAGACGCACAGAAAACCGGAGCACGTCCATCAGTGTCATTCACACTGGAGAAAGATATCAGATCATCTCCATCTCCTTACCTGTGCTACAGATCTCAACAAAACACCACAATCGACAAATCAAACACAAGCAGCGAGAGATCTATGAAGCATCTGTTAGAAGCAGAGACTTACAGTAACAGTACAGATGCTGTAGCAACATCATTAGTCCTGTGTTCAGACCTGTGGACTCCTGCAGGTTTGTCTCTGTGCTGCTAGTCCAGCTCAGTCACCAAACAGCTTGTAAGGGACTTAATCCAGAAGTCTCTTTAATACGTGCCTCCCCTCCGCTCCTCTCCTCCTCTTTTCTTCCACCTCTACCTCTTCTCTTCTGCAATTAAAGTTTCTTTTTATCCTACAAGTCTTATCTTACCAGTCTAAAGGCCTCAAGAGCTTGCAGTTAGTCATTTCATCACAGTTTCACTGTTGTGTTTAAATGACGAGAGGAAATGTTTGGGATGCGCTACAAAGACCTTTAGATTTGACAAGTGTGGTTGTTATCAAAGTAGACAACAGACAGTGTGATCCGAAAGCACTAGTGAAAATGCTTCTGTTTCGCATTTGTATAGTTTAATCTTTATATATATATATATATATATATATATTACATTATTAGCATGAGAATTTGAGTGAACAGTTTATTTTCTAATCTATTTGTCTAATAAACCTGGCATTGTATATTATGAATGTTGTTGGCTCTTTGAACATTTAGATGCACTGTAAAAAATGATTTATATAGTTAATAGCATATTTTACAAGAAAATACTATTTCACTTTTTCTACTTCAAAATTTCATGTTTAATTCAATGTATTACTTGCTGTTTCATTGTAATTATTTGTAGATCCTTCACCATTATATAACTGTATAGTTTTTATTGGTATTTGAAATTAAATTACATTTTTATATTTTCTCTTTTCATGTTAATTTTAGTTAAAGTTTAATATTTTTTTAAATATGTCTATATATATATTTATTTATTTTATTTTAGTTTATTTTGTTTTGAGTAATTTTTTTATGGTTTTAGTTTTAGTCAACTATACACTCTAAAAAATGCTGGGTTAAATATAACCCAACCGCTGGGTCAAAACAACCCAATAGCTGGGTTTGTCCCTTTTTAACCCAGCACTGGGTTGTATTTAACCCAGCATTTTTTAGAGTGTAATATGATCTGTGACAAATTGCTTTTGTTCCTCTTTGCATGCCGCTTTGGATAAAAGCATCTGCTAAATGCATAATTGTAAATGTAAAATACAAATTGAACATGAATAATTGTAATGTCTACAGCACTGAAGCAACATGAACAAAACTTGATGATACACTCCAAAAAATGCTGGGTTAAATACAACCCAGTGCTGGGTAAAATAGGGACAAACCCAGCAATTGGGCTGTTTTGACCCAGCGGTTGGGTTAAATGTTTAACCCAACCTTCTGAGTAATAACCCAGCCGCTGGATCAAAACAGCCCAATTGCTGGGTTTGTCCCTATTTAACCCAGCACTGGGTTGTATTTAACCCAGCATTTTTTAGAGTGTAGTTTTGCATGATTTGAGATGATGATCCAATCCAAAGAGTTTCTTCTGATTTGTGCAAAGAGTCACAAATTTGATACATTTGATTAGTGACCAAGCATTTCTTAGTCATCGTCAGTTTCACAACTGTTGATTTGCATGCTGCACATGCTGCATCTGCTGCTCATGAAGCTCCTCAGACTGTGGACCTGGAGTCTTTCCTCCTCTCTGGAGGACATGTTGTGCCACATGCTGTCATGGGTCTTAACAAGATAACCGGCCTAATTACAGTCTGAGCAGAATCCAGCGCAGTGGCCACCGAGACAGATGGACACTGATTGAGGTCAGAGGGAATATGCACATACACAAAGCACAGAAAGACTGGGAGAAAGGTGATCAGGACAGACTTTGGCTCACACTAGCGACTCATTAATTACCCTCCTGGTCAAACAATGTAACAGACGGTTTAGAAGATTCTTACTTGCCCCACATTTTGGAATGGTAGTGTATCAGTTTCCACAAAAAATATGAAGCAGCACAACTGATTTCAACACTGATAATAATCAGAAATATTTCTTTAGCAGCAGATCAGCATATTAGAATGATTTCTGAAGATCATGTGACACTGAAGACTGGAGTAATGGCTTACAGGAATAAATTACATTTGTAAAAATATATTACAACAGAAAATGGTTATTCTAAATTGTAATAATATTTATGCTTTTGCTGTATTCTTTATAACACATCTGAATTATTATTATTTTAAAAACACTTACAGAGAAAACAAGCATTTTTGTAACTGGACCTTTAGTTACTGAAATACATCGCCCTGGATCTGACAACTTTCCCACGTGACAACTAACCCCGTTCCATCCTATAATTCTACTGTACATTTAAATCAGTCTTTTTCAGGATGTTGAGACTGAATGAGTTTAATGGGTGTTTTGGAAAAACTTTAATCTTAGGCAGGACGCCAACTAGAGCGACAGCAGCGCAGACATCCAGGAGCTCAGTTTGCTGTCTGCTGAGTTCTGAGAAAGATGATGTCCTCACTTCCATCTGATACTAGAGGAGACAGAGAGAGAGTCATCCGGTTACTAGGCCCGGTTAACATGCACAACAGGCTTACATTGGAATACACAAATACTGACAGACGGACCAGTGGAAAAAACACACTGAGACTGTGAAACTCATAAGGGCCACATTCCCGACGAGTGATTTTAAAATCTATATTTTGTCATAAAATGAACAAATTATTGAATAAGTAAATGAATAAATTACATGTAAAAGGTGTACTTTCAAAGCTGTACCACTAAATGGCATAATATTTGTGTTGTATAGACAAGACTGAAGTCAGTATTGTTGAATAGTGCATGCTATTTAGGTTTTGGGATAAAGAGTTGGGTTACCGTGTTAATTTAACTCTTCTTACCACATTTTCCATTGGTTCCATTGGTGTAACTGGTATAAAAGTCCAGTATCAGAAATGCAGGGATTTTCTGATGTATTCAAATGAAACACATTTTTAATTTTATTGTAATAAAAATGTGGGTTACTTACCGTGTTAATTTAGCTTTGTCTCCATGTAGATGCAGAGAGTCACAACATTGAACAGAGACAACCAGTGTATTTGGAAATAATGCTTATATGCTCTTTCAACATAAGTTTGTGTGTATTTAAATGCAGTTTAACACTCTGATTAAGAGTTTACAGTTTGTGTTCAAGTAAACAGCAGCATTTACCTTTTATATGACTGCCACATGACTTTTCTTTCACATTTTTTCATTGGTTCCATTGATTTCATCGGTGCACTCAAACAGTGGCATGTAGATGAAGAGAGTCAAGCATGGAAGAAACAAACATGAAAGACCAGTATCAGAAATGCAGGGATTTAATGATGTTTTCAAATGAAACACATGTTGATTTTATTGTAATAAAAATTCAGGCTCCTGAACTTACCGTGTTAATTTACTGTTGTCTCCATGTAGATGTAGAGAGTCACAACACGGAACAGAGATGATTAGAGTGATTATTTAGAAATAATGCTTTTATGATATTTCAACCAAAGTTAATCATTTTTGGTGTATTTGTGAATTTTTAGATATATTTCAGAAACCATGTATGTCCTATAGCTGCAATCAGAATCCAAATACTTCTAATAAATGTGCATAGATATACTGCAGCTCAATGTGTCCATGATGACACTGTGCTCAATGTTAATTAAAGGCACAATATGTCATTTTCGCCCCTAGAGAGCGCGTATTCAAAACAAACAAAGAGACAAAGGTGTAGTTTGATGAGGCCGTAACTGAGTGTGGAATCATGGGAGTTGTGGTCTTCATCCCCACAGCCGACGCAATCCGACGGGACTCGGGCAGAAATCATGTTCATGGATGAGCTAATGATTTATTAATGTAGTAGAATGAAGCAGGATGAGGCTGAAAGTCGATCGTACACATTGTGCCTTTAAATGCCTTTCAACAGTCCAATTAAGCGTCTAAATCTTGTGTTTAAGTAAATAATAGCAATTCCTTTTACCTTTATTGCTGTCACATACAGAAGTCCTAAGAGGCCATGGATTATGATTATTTTTCTCGTGATCTGGACATAATGAAAGTAGTTTTTTTATAATGATGGTTTGATCTTCTGTTACTATAATAACGAACACTACTTTGACGCGCATCTGATCGACAGATAAACCATGTGCTCTTATACTGTATGTTATGGATATTTCAGCAAATTTTGCTTCGCTTAGTAATAATGTCTACAATACATAAATAAAGGCTAATCAATCACTGTTGATATTTTTTCCAGAGACAGTACACTAAACATTGTGTTTGTGTAATTCACGTTTAAAGGTCAAAGCAACCGCAAACACAGCCTTCAGAAGGATGCAGAACTGTTCTAGAATCTTTTAGAGCTGCTTGGATTCGACTCACCTTATTTTCCTTTTATTTGAAATAAAAGTAGCCTACATATGATTTGTGATTTTTATTAGTCATGTAGGATATGCAGTGACTGATACCATGTGCGATAAAAGCTTGGGATGCTGTTTGAAAAGAGAGAGAGACTCTTATACTGTATGTTATGGATATTTCAGCAAATTTTGCTTTGCTTAGTAATAATGTCTACAATACATAAATAAAGGCTAATCAATCACTGTTGATATTTTTTCCAGAGACAGTACACTAAACATTGTGTTTGTGTAATTCACGTTTAAAGGTCAAAGCAACCGCAAACACAGCCTTCAGAAGGATGCAGAACTGTTCTAGAATCTTTTAGAGCTGCTTGGATTCGACTCACCTTATTTTCCTTTTATTTGAAATAAAAGTAGCCTACATATGATTTGTGATTTTTATTAGTTATGTAGGATATGCAGTGACTGATACCATGTGCGATAAAAGCTTGGGATGCTGTTTGAAAAAAGAGAGAGAGAGAGAGAGAGAGAGTGAGAGAGAGAGAGAGAGAGAGAGAGAGTGTGAGAGTGTGTGTGTGTGTGTGTGTGTGAGAGAGAGAGTGTGTGTGAGAGTTTTGCCCAATTTATTTTAAATTAAAAAAACAGCAGCTAAATATAATTAATGTAATAAAATAAAAACATAATAAATATATTAAAAAAGAAAGAAAGAAAGAAAAAAAAAATTTCTCCAGCACTTGAAGTTTATTTCTATTGTCAGAGTGTTTTGATGTCATCTGACTACTTTAACAATTTTTTCTTTCTTTCTTTTTTCTTTTGCATCACAGCATATAAAACATTGACGTTTCTGTTATGCCAGCTTACTACTTTTCAAGCTAATCACACAAAAAAATATTAAGGCTGAAGTTTTGGATCCAAACTCAAGAAGGCAGCAGAGTTCACTCTGAACTTCAAGACTCAATTTTTCTTATTTTAAAATACTTTTAAATTACTCAGTTACTTTAAAATACTTTCAATACTCATTTTAAATACTATGTATGATGATAACAGCTCAATACAAAGTACAAGCAAATAAATAAATAAATAAAAATATAACCGCACACAGCGATCATCATTGTCAAAGCACTAAGATACAAATTATATTGTCTACTCATTTTTAATTAGTAAGCAGTATATTCAGTTAATATTGTTATTTTCAGACAAATATGTATTCAATTCAATAACATTAATATATATTTCTTATCCTGTGGTTAGTCGCCCTCTAGTGGACAAGTATTACAGCCTTTTTTCTGTCACTCACATTGACATAAATGACTTATCATTTAGAAACTGCAGAAACCCCCAGCATCATAAATTCATTGACATTTTGTGTTTTTAAATAATTTTTCATGTATACCAAGTTTTGTGAGGTTTGTATATTGTGTTTTCAAGAAATAGACCAATTAGTCATAGTGAGCCAAACCCCAAAATACATCAGCCCATATCAGCTAAACAATTCAATTCAACTCGAGTCAAAATGGTGCAAATCAAATGTCCTGCAAACCAGAGGATGAGTTTGAAAAATAGGTTTCTTAAAGTGGTATAAGCCGTTTTGTACAAAAATTCTCACTAAATGTAGTACAGCCTCATGTATCTTGTGCATAGAGAACATAGTAAATTCCACAAAAATGAGTTGTGAATAATTTGTAACATGTTTTTGACGTATGTCCCCTATGAAGTTCATGACCTATAGTCTATGTGGATTGTAGGTAAAGCACAATTTACACAATAAATAGGTCCAATAGTCAGAATGGGCAATGTCAGGCCATTTAATTGGCTTATAACTTTGATAAACCAAAATTCTTTAGAAAACTTTCAATCATGAGGGTTTTGGGATGATGCATGCCAAGTGTCATGTGAATCGAACCAAGAGGGGAAAAAAAGCTTTTTTCCGAAAATCCAAAACGCTGAAAAATTGGTAAACAATATTGAATGTACAATTCTTGTAGGGCTTGAAACAAGGATTTAGAGATACATTTTGATTCTAGTCCTCAAGAGAAAAATCATTATTGACAAAACAGTACAAGTACAATAGAAGTTCTTGCTGCTAAAAGAGGCACAACCAGATTTTAAGTTTAAAGGGCAATTAGTTTTCACATGGCTGATGGGTCGGGTTGCCTTTGTTTTATGTTGTATTTCGTTTAGATCTACACAACAACAGAACAGATCAGGGCAAACACTTTTTCACAGCATTATATACTGCATTGCACTATATATCCCCGTTGAAGAACTTTACAACAAACATGTATTTTCATTAGTGTATTTGTGCATCTATAGCTGGATATGTTTTATAATCAATAGAAAACACTTGATGTTAATATTTACTTTAAATAAATGCTTTACAAGAAAAAGTCAAGCTGAACAGTTTGGTTAAGATAAGCATGTGTTCAGATGGCTGTGTACATTGTTTTGAAAGCAATTACATTACTTTGGAGAAAAGTGTCGGATCGATTGAGAAAAACTGTAAATGCAAAATGAAGCTTCTTTACAATATTTTTCCCTCTTAAAAATAAAGGTTCCAATTCACAGTGATGACACAGAAGAACCTTTTTTTTTTTTGGTTATAATTAATTTAAAAACCAACAAAAATACTGTCCAGTCAAAAGGAACGTGAGAAAAGGGTCTAACAGCATTTGTTTGCACATGCCACTTCTGAGATTGTATTCATGGAATTAAAAGTGAAGTGTTGGTGTATGAATGAGATATGAGATGTGATGTGTGTGTGTTGTGTGTGTGAGAGAGAGAGTGTGTGTGTGTGTGTGTGTGTGTGTGTGTGTGTGTGTGTGTGTGTGTGTGTGTGTGTGTTAGGGCTGCGCTGTCCCGTTACCTCATTGACATTCAGTCCCAGTGAGAGACACAGACAGAGAGTAAGGAGACATTGTCCGGGACAGAGACAGAGACAGAGACCGAGCGGCTCGAGCTCTACATCGCGACGGCAAATGGACATTTGTAGCGGAATGAAGAGTTCAGTTTGATGAGTTTGAGGAGCAGCGAGCAGTGAGTGTGTTCTGACCTGGATTCAGTGAGGGCTTTGGGAGACACAGGGCGAGGGGTGAGGGGTGGACGAGGATTTACTGGGTCAAACAAACCGACTACCCCCACCACTGAAGAAGGGAAGGTCAGAAGGAAAAGAAGAAAAACCACAGACAAAGCGCTGAGGAAACCATGAACACTGAGAAGGTAGGAGAAAACCTCCACATAACACAAACTACTGGAGTTCATTTACTTCATAATACAATCAAACTAACAACCTGCTACAGCGAGTGCAACAAGTGCCATTTGAAAGAAATATGACAATGCGGTTACTATGATGGACGTGATTGGCATTGCAAATCCACCGGCTGATAAAGTTGCATTGCTTACTAAACTTTGTTTTGCTGATTGTGAATTATTGCATTGAGAAGCAGCAGAAATGAAGAGAACATCTATTGAAATGTCCTGTTCATATCATCTTATCACGTGTTTTCCAGCCTTTCACTGTTACATCAGCAGAATCATAACGCCACCTTTACCTCATATTTCATCTCTGTATCATTGCAATAACATCACTTTAATCACCAGCTCTAACAGGGAACAGGTGTCAGCTGGGAACAAATTAGAGGCACAAATTTGTATACAGTCAATTTATAGAAATATATTTATTTATTTGATTATGAACGTGGCAACAAAATATGCAGTGACACAATTATATCTATATCTCTTTCATGCCGTAAGTAGGAATACATTCTGTGTCTGTGTGGAGTTAGTCCTAAAGATTAATATTCCTAAATCTTATCATGTGGTTTTGCTTTGAGGTCATCTACTTTTAATTGCCCTGTTGAAAAAAACAGCATATGCTGGTTAGGTATGTTTTGATGCTGGTTTAAGCTGGTCCTTTGCCAGCACATGACCAGCATAAACCAGCAAAGGACCAGCTTAAACCAGCATCCCAGCGTCAAAACATACCTAACCAGCATATGCTGGTTTTTCAACAGGGTGGACTCTCAAAAGCGGCAGACGTGTAACTTTTAGCAGATGCACTCACTTAAAATGTACAGTCTTCTCTTCCATGAAATAGACATATATTCAGATGACTCATGTTGCACTCAGAGCTGCTGACACATTTTTGTCCAACCGGTTGCACTCTAGAATAGGAATGTCCCGCCCCCCAATACCACTTGTTTCTATTAGACGTATCAAATCATGGTTAATGGCTGTGATGTGAACTAAAGGCTGACTATTTGCAAAAAGGGATGCGCCCTTGTCCCTGGGGCAGAACCCTTAAAGGGACAACTTTGTGCATTATTTACCCCTGACAGGTGCATGGTAGTACATATTACTACTCTAAGGTACTGCTAATATGCGGAATTTAGGGCTAAATGTGACCCTGGGGCACCAAACCAGTCTTAAGTCGCTGGGGTATATTTGTAGCAATAGCCAAAAATACATTGTTTGGGTCAAAATGATAGATTTTTCTTTTATGCCAAAAATCATTAGGATATTAAGTAAAGATCATGTTCCATGAAGATATTTTGTAAATGCCCTACCGTAAATATATCAAAACTTAATGTTTGATTAGTAATATGCATTGCTAAGAACTTCATTTGGACAATTTTAAAGGCGGTTTTCTCAATATTTAGATTTTTTTGCACCCTCGGATTCCAGATTTTCAAATAGTTGTATCTCGACCAAATATTGTCCGATCCTAACAAACCATACATCAATGCTTATTTATTCAGCTTTCAGATGATGTATAAATCTCAATTTTAAAAAATTGACCCTTAAGGTTTTGTGCTCCAGGGTCACAAATAAGCTTCAGTGTTGTCACTTTAAAGGGGTCATATGATGCGATTTAAATTCTTTTTAGCAACATCATATGACCCCTTTAAGGGCACTTCTATTCTAGCTAACAGAGAACGTTCTCAGAACCTTATCTCATGTTTTGGCAAGGTTCTCCCCAAGATATGAACAAATGTTCTCGCAGTAACTTTAATGGAACATTTGTTTAAAGTCATCTGGTCTTTAATAATGTTCTCAAAACTTTAGCACAAAAACATTAGTCCTTATGTAGCTCCGCCCCTTTTCGTAGAGTCTTTAATGACACTCTAAGCATAATTAAATGTCATGAATTGAGGGTGAATCACAATAGTTGGTGAACTATTAGTCAGTCATCTGCTCTCAGTGTGAATCAAGGGAAAAGAAGGCGTGAAATGAAGTGTTGTGTGATGAGAATGTTATTTTTCGGGGGGTCTCACTCATTCTCTTCATTTAGGTCAAATTCTTCCTCCTAATCTTCCTCTAATAACACACATGAGAGCGCTGACCTGCTGTAAACACTGGCCTTCAGAGCTGAAGCTTTATGTGATGGGTAATCCTGACTGGAATCTCTGATTCACGATCTTTCCAGAAGGGAAACTGTGTGAGCGCAGTGTTTGTTCAGCGGCTTGACTCTTGCGCTTGCGCTTGGGAAGAACTGCTCTCCTCCAGGGCACTGTGACATGTCAGAATCAATTTCATGAACTTAAGACATTCAATAACAGTGTATTAGGATGGCTTTGGCCAGACTCAGACTATGTAATCTCTCGAGGGTCACTAACAAGGCTGGTCCTTATTTTGAAATTCATAAAGTGTATGTGAAACGTTTTGTCAAATAACTAAATTGGTATTATTCGAGTAGAAATTTTATGATTGAATCAACCTGACTACATATTGATTGCAAGACATTTTTGTGGCATGTTCAATTATATCAGATATTAGATATGCTAGCAGAATGAATTAGATTAATAAATAATGTTTTAATGTGTGCCATGAATGCTTGAAGTGAAGTGATATAATAAAAGTCATATATATATAGTACATCCTTTACCACTCATGTCAAATGTATTAATTATATACTACTGCATACATTTCATTGCAAAACGTTACTACATCTTTGCCCAGCTCTTTATATAAAGTTGGATATATAATTATCTCCAATTTTATCTACACACGTAAAGCAACATATATAGCAAATCTCAACTGCTTTATTGCTTGTATCATCACAAAATGTAAACTATATTATTGTCCAGCTCTAATCTGATGAATCCAACTACAACGAAAGCAGAAATTAAGATATTTTAAACATTAAAGGGTTAGTTCACCCAAAAATGAAAATTAGCTTGTGTTTTACTCACCCCCAAGGCATCCTAGGTGTATATGACTTTCTTCTTTCAGACGAATCCAGTCGGAGTTATATTAAACATGGTCTTTGGTCTTTCAAGCTGTTTAATGCCACTCAGCGGGTGTTGCATGCATCAGTCCAAAAGAAGTTAAATAAAAAGCGCCCATCCATAAATAAAGTGTCTCACACGGCTCCGGGGGGTGAACAAAGGCCTTCTGTAGCGAATCGATGCATTTTTGTAAGAAGAATATCCATATTCAAAACCTAATGATCACTTTAATGTAGCTTGCGCTCACTGCTGTACACAGAAGCAGATCAAAGACAATTTTTAATATAACTCCGACTGGTCTGAAAGAAGAATGTCATATACACCTAAGATGCCTCGGGGGTGAGTAAAACGCAGCCTAATTTTCATTTTTGGGTGAACTAACCCTTTAACATCATGATTTTCAGTCAATCAGTTTTAAAACACTGTGAGTTGTGAAAAGCACTGTACAAATAAATTCAAGTTGACTTGATAAAAGCAATGCTGCATGCCTAATTGTTGTTTAAAATGATATAGGATTTCACATGACCAACAAAACAAGTCAAATTCCTGCAGAAAAAAAAATGAATTCCTTCCTAATTCCAGGAAAGATCCCTTTCTGTTGATCGGTTTTCCATGGTTTGGGCCGAAGGAAAATACTGACACTATAGCATGCAGTGACATTTTAGACCATTATTTTGTGGCATTGTGACACCGGTTTCCTGTTTTTGAATGACAATATCCTTATGAACATCCATACAAAAATGGTTTGTCAAGACACACAGAAGTGGCATGTGCAGGATCTTGATGAGTCCAGACTTTTGAGATAAACTGTGCCGACGGCTGCGAGTCTGGCCTCAATCACACAGTGCCTGACCTCTCTAATGCTTGAATAGAAGCAAATCCATTCAGCAATGTTATAACATCTAGAGGAAAGCATTCCTCAGACCAGTGGGGATGTTGTCACAACTTCAGTTAGTTTCAGTGTTTTAGAATAAGAGCAGGTAAACTGATGTGATCGAAACATCTAAACATTCCAGTTACAATTTCATAAAGGGTTAGTTCACCCAAAAATTACAATTCCGTGATCATTTTCTCACCATCAAGTTGTTATGAACCTGTAGGAGTTTCTTTCTTCTGTTGAGCACAAAAGAAGATATTTTGAAGAATGTTGGAAACCAAATGTTTGACAGTAGCAAGAAAAAAAAAATACCATGGAAGTCAATGGCTGCCGTGAAGAGTGTTGTTGGTTACTAACACTCTTCTTTAAGGCAGAAGATCTCTAGTTAATGCAGTCACTGAATGAGCCGGATTAATTCTCTATGTCTCACGTTCTTGCTCTCTTTCTCTCCGTGTATCCGCGTGTGCTGGGACTTCGTGACGTCTAGAAGTGAGGTGAACTGATCTGGAGAGAGAAGCACAATGTCACGGTCAGATGAGGTCAACAAAATGACAGAAAATGTCTACAAGGTATGTGTTCAATGAAAGGGGACAATAAATAGACAATCCAGGATGATAAAAGGAGACATCTTAGAAATGTAATCTTTTCTTCATGTTTGTTTTTATTCTCACATTTTGTGTAAAAAAAACAAAAAAACATGCATATACCAACAACAAATAATTGGCAAACAAAAACCACATAACAAAACATTTTGTCAAGCAAAGAAAAAACGTTTTCTTTTTTAATTACTATATGTGACCCTGGAGCACAAAACCAGTCTTAAGTGTTAATTTTTTGAAATTGAGATTTATACATCATCTGAAAGTTGAATAAATACGCTTTCCATTGATGTATGGTTTGTTAGTTTTATAGTTGTGAGATACAACTATTTGAAAATCTGGAATCTGAGGGAGCAAAAAAATCTAAATATTGAGAAAATCATCTTTAAAGTTGTCCAAATGAAGTTCTTAGCAATGCATATTACTAATCAAACATTAAGTTTTGATATATTAACCAAATATCTTCATGGAACATGATCTTTACTTAATATCCTAATTATTTTTGGCATAAAAGAAAAATTTATAATTTTGACCCATACAATGTATTTTTGGCTATTGCTACAAATATCCCCCAGCGACTTAACACTGCTTTTGTGCTCCGGGGACACATATGTGTGTCTATATGTAGTGAGTGAGAGCGATAATTATATATATTTGTTATAAGTATAAAAAAATGCTTCTGTACTTCTTTTTTATTCTTTTTAGGAAAAAAATAATTTCGGCAAAACATATATATATATACTGAATATACAAATGAATTTTAAAGGTATATTTCAGTCATTATGAATTGTATTTTTAACAGTATTTTGAATAAGAATAAAAAAAGAGCATCACTGACACAGAGCGTTTTCCATTATTCCACCTCATGTATTGAATGTGTTGCTGATTCTGTGTTCAGGGCATTCTGGACCAGTTCAACCCCAGTCTGAAGAATTTTGTCACCATGGGCAAACACTATGAAAAGGCTCTGACGGGTCAGACATCATTATTTAATAGTTAATTTTCTCTGTAATGGGCAATGGGCAAAAGTCCCCTGATAATCAGTGTGAACTTTGATGTATGTTCATCAGCACTTCGCCTGCCAAACAACAATCATGTATGCACTCTCTCTCTATGTCTCTCTATGTCTCTCTCTCTCTCTCTCTGTCTGTCTTTCTCTGTCTCTACAGGAGTCACAGTAGCAGCGAAGGGTTATTTTGACACTCTGGTCAAACTAGGAGAGCTGGCCAGTGACAGCCAGGGCTCAAAGGAACTAGGTAAGACACTTCAGAACCAAACACTGAATACACCAGAAAATGAGTAAATAAATGTCCTCAAAGTTAACTAATCTCTCAAACTGATTGTGTAGTCAGGTTCACAACCTAGTTACTGCACCAAAGTGAAGTCATTGCAAGTACAGTATACTTACAGCACATTTGCAGTTAAAGTACTGATGTTATCATGTAATTCCACTTAATTATTTCAAATGAACTGGCATAAAACAAGAGAGTTTATGTTAGAACTAAACTTTTATGTGTTTTTGAGAGCGATAAGTAACAGGGAGAGCAGTTAATGCACTAAAAGTGATGGTTATGAGGGATTTATTTGAAGGTTGTGATGATTGGAGGATGTGTTTAGGACAGAAACAAGGTGCTAACAAGCGCCAATGTTGCAACATGCCAATTATGTTCTAATATTATTATGTGATCCAAATCTAATTTTATAATTACAAAGAGTGTTTTTCTGCAAACTACACTACATCATCAATAAGTGCCTTAATGTTGACTTAAAAAAAATATATATATATACTGTATATACTGTATATATATATACAGTATATATATATATATATATAGAGAGAGAGAGAGTTCCCATGATTTAGACCCAGTGTTATTTTAGTACCATTGAACATTTTTATTTTTAGATTTCCCATTCTCATTTTAATTTTAGTAATATTGTTGTGTGTATAATTTTAGTTTTAGTTAATTATGGCTATTCAAATCTGTTTCTGAAGTGACACGTCCGGCAGAGTAAAGCTAGTGGTGAAAACTGAATGTGAAAATGTTAGTAAATATAACTACATTGTTCAAGTTCATAGTACATCAGCGTTTGCAGGAAATGAAAGCGTGAAACCAAGTGACTACAGCAGAAGAGAATGAAGAGGCAAAGCCTGTACGATAAAATGGAGATGAAGAAAGTAAGAGAAAGTGAGAGAGGGGCAAAAGAGAGAGAGGCCTTTGTTGAAAGATTAACAACACCACATGATCTCATTGTGCTGCTGAAAACAGCGGGGGTGGACGAGAGGGAGGGAGAGATGCCAAGCCGCACACACACTGTTGCTCAGTAGGGGATAAAGAAGGCCAACATCCACGGCTCAGCCCACTGGAACCCACAACAAAACACCACAAATTCACCCTCAATGAAACGCAAGAATGGACAGACAATGCCACGCATATCACATCCTCTGAAGGAAGAAATCGCTCTTTTCAATTGTGTTCAGACAAATAAGTGCACATACACCACAGCCTACAGTTTAGACAAGTACATGCATTTTAGAAAATGAACATGCAGTTGTTACATTTTAGATCAAACTTTAAAATGACCCTAGTGTGAGCTTGATGTAGTCAGGTTTATATGAGTGAGATGGCATTATTGGGCCGTGTTTGATAGTACGTCTGTAAATTGTGATGGCTCTCATGCTTTGAGTTTTTCTGATTGTGTGCAATGTCTTTTGACGTCCTCTCATAATTCATATTGATTCAGGTGACATGCTGTTCCAGATGGCAGAGGTTCATCGGCAGATCCAGGTCCAACTAGAGGATGTGGTGAGTAAATAAAGCAATAAGCCCCGTGAAGCCGTGGTTCCCTTTCAGTCAGTCACTCTCGACGTTACGTTGGATGACCGACGAATTGGGATCTCGCTTAGAGCGACCAATCCACTTCGAGTGTAAACTAAACAAGCCAATGCACATTGGCATGCGATTATTGCATCCAGCTGTCGCTGATCACAGCGTGAGTATAAGTTGGCAGCTGGTGCAGCGCATATTCAGCTTTTCGCTTCTGAGCCGAGTGGTCTCATCGTTCTGCTCCTGATCTTGTGCTTCAGTGAAACTACGAGTTCGAGTACAAGCACGCTCTTAGGAAGCTCTCGTGCTGGTGGTGTATTGAATGTGTTGCTGATTCTGTGTTCAGGGCATTCTGGACCATCTTCAGCGGTGATGGTTCTTCCCGTGTTGAGTGGGTTGCACACAGCCGGCTGCACTACCCCCTGTTTGTGTTGCAGGCGGCCATCTCCCCTGTGCGCTTCAGCACACTAAAAGAGCAGTTCTAAAAGAGCATTCACGGGTGGAACGTCTTTTTAAATTCTTTTAAATTCATTTCTGGATGCAGTTGTTACCTGGCGCCGTGTGATGGTCACGATCGCTGCCTCTCGTGTCTGGGCATTAAGCACTTTGTGGACGAGTCATGCTCCCATTACGGGAAAATGACCATCTCTGAGTTGCGGACCCTGTTTGTGTTGCAGGCGGCCATCTCCCCTGTGCGCTTCAGCACACTAAAAGAGCAGTTCTAAAAGAGCATTCACGGGTGGAACGTCTTTTTAAATTCTTTTAAATTCATTTCTGGATGCAGTTGTTACCTGGCGCCGTGTGATGGTCACGATCGCTGCCTCTCGTGTCTGGGCATTAAGCACGCTGAGGTGGCTTTGTGGACGAGTCATGCTCCCATTACGGGAAAATGACCGTCTCGGAGTTGCGGACCAGACTTTGTTTCCTGCCCGTGCCGCTGCCCAGATCTAGGGTTCCCCCTGGCGGCAGCCAGACTAGTCTTACGGTGATGGTGAGGAATTCCCCTCTGAGGAACCAACCTCCGAGGGCTCCTGCTTTCGCCGGCACTTCACAGCCAGTGGAGCCGCAGAGAGAACAGGCTGGACCCTCCCGGGGGGTACAACTTGTATCTTTCGGCGCTCCCCCCGAAGATCAGATGTCGATTGCTACATTGGAGGGTGAGCCAGACTTTTCTGGAGAGGATGATCCGGCGGCCGGTGCCGGATTCGGAAATGATGGCTATGCTTTCCCGGGCCGCCGAGAGTGTCGGGCTCGAGTGAAAACCTCCACCGCGTCCCGAACCCTCGAGGCTGGATGATTGGTTTCTCGGAGTGACTCACGCTAGTTCTCAGGGCCCCACTCTTTCTCAGGTTCTCAGGACCTTTCTTCCCGGAGGTGCATGATGAGCTCACTGGGTCGTGGACGGCACCTTTCACTGCCAGAAACCGCCCCAGTGGTTCGTACTCCCTCACCACCCTTGATGGCGGGGCAGCGCGGGGGTATACGGAGGTCCCCACCGGTGGAGCGGTTGGTTGCAATGCAATTGTGTCCAAATATCGCTGCCATCTGGCGGGGCAAGCCGTCGCTACCCTCCCGGGCCTGTAGGTACTCGTCGGCCCTGACCGGCAGTGCTTATGTGGCCTGCGGAGAAGCTGCCTCTGCCCTACACACCATGGCATTGTTGCAGGTTCATCATGCCAAGGCACTGAAGGACCTGCACGAGGGTGGTCATGACCCAGAAGTTCTCAAAGAACTCCGTACCGCTACTGACCTCGCGCTACGAGTGACGAAGGTTACTGCGCGGTCTCTGGGCCGTGCAATGTCCACTATGGTGGTCCAGGAGCGCCATCTCTGGCTGTGTCAGGCCAACATGCGGGACAAGACACGATTCTTGAACGCACCCATGTCCCAGACCAGCCTGTTCGGCAAAGCAGTAGAGAACTTCGCCCAGCAGTTCTCCATTGTACAGAAGCAGACTGAAGCCATCAGGCACATCCTGCCCCGGCGTGCAGCTGCTGCCTCCACCCGGCCGCCGGCGGCAGTGCCTCAGCCTGCTCGCCGCCAAGGATGGCCCCCTGCCGCCACCCCCGCTCCCGCGCAACATACGCAGCAGCCTCCAGCAAAGCAGCGCCGTGGAGCCTGTCGCAGGGCAGCCGCCCCGCCTGTCCAGGCCCCCGCCAAACCTGGCGGCAAGAGCAAGAGCAAGAGGCCCTGAGACGGGCGACCCAGAGATGGAGGAACCTGCTCTTCGGGAGATGGTGGTCTGTGGTTCACGGTCAGTGGTTCCTAAAAACTCAACAAAAGAGCACTTTCCTCTATCTCTGGGTCCCCAGAGGGGACAGGGAGCTGTGGACGGGCCAGTCTCGGATCACACTCACCCTTCTCAATCGCCAGTGAGCAGCTGTGGGGGGTTCGAGAGTGCGGTCAAACGTACTACTCACGAACCCTCTGCCCGAATGCAGGTGAGTGTTGCACACACGCTGACCCCGCTTCGGACTGGCAACGAAACGCCCGGGCCGGGTCCCTGCGTTCCCCCTCGCTGCCCCACCGCGGGTATGTCGGTGGTTCTGTTCGTGTCACTTGTACGGTTTCTGGGAGCATGGCTAGCGCTTCCCAGCCCGTCTCGTTGGCTCCGTCAGACCATCAGACTCGGCTATGCGATTCAGTTTGCCCTGCGCCCTCCCACATTCAGGGGCGTCCACGTTACTTCGGTGAAGGCAGCAGATGCCCCTGTCTTGCGTGCAGAGATCACAGTCCTACTGGCGAAGGATGCGATAGAGCCGGTTTCTCCAGCCGATATGAGGACGGGATTTTTCAGCCCTTACTTCATTGTGCCCAAAAAAGGCGGTGGGTTGAGACCAATCTTGGATCTGCGTGTCTTGAACCGGGCCCTTCACAAGCTCCCGTTAAAGATGCTCATGCAGAAGCACATCTTCAGGTGCACCCGTCCCCAAGATTGGTTTGCAGCGATCGACCCAAAGGACGCGTACTTCCATGTGTTGATCTTTCCGCGCCACAGGCCATTCCTGCGGTTTGCATTCGAAGGACGGCATATCAGTCCCTGCGTTCCCCCTCGCTGCCCCACCGCGGGTATGTCGGTGGTTCTGTTCGTGTCACTTGTACGGTTTCTGGGAGCATGGCTAGCGCTTCCCAGCCCGTCTCGTTGGCTCCGTCAGACCATCAGACTCGGCTATGCGATTCAGTTTGCCCTGCGCCCTCCCACATTCAGGGGCGTCCACGTTACTTCGGTGAAGGCAGCAGATGCCCCTGTCTTGCGTGCAGAGATCACAGTCCTACTGGCGAAGGATGCGATAGAGCCGGTTTCTCCAGCCGATATGAGGACGGGATTTTTCAGCCCTTACTTCATTGTGCCCAAAAAAGGCGGTGGGTTGAGACCAATCTTGGATCTGCGTGTCTTGAACCGGGCCCTTCACAAGCTCCCGTTCAAGATGCTCATGCAGAAGCACATCTTCAGGTGCACCCGTCCCCAAGATTGGTTTGCAGCGATCGACCCAAAGGACGCGTACTTCCATGTGTTGATCTTTCCGTGCCACAGGCCATTCCTGCGGTTTGCATTCGAAGGACGGCATATCAGTACAAGGTCCTACCGCTGGGGCTGCTCCATATGAGACCGCTTCAGCACTAGCTCCATGGCCGAGTCCCAAGGTGGGCGTGGCAACGCGGCACTCACCGGGTCCAAGTCACACCGGCCTGCCGCCAAAACTTTACCCCGTGGTCAGACCTGGCGTTTCTCCGGGCAGGAGTGCCCCTAGAACAGGTCTCCAGGCATGCTGTGGTTCACACAACCGGCTGGGGGGCCACGTTCCACGGGCTTGCAGTGGCAGGGGTTTGGACGGGCCCCCAACTGCACTGGCACATCAATTGCCTCGAGTTGCTGGCAGTGCACCTTGCCTTGATCTTGTCCGTACGGACAACACTGCGACCGTTGCGTACATCAACCGACAAGGTGGTCTATGCACCCGTCGCATGTCGCAACTCGCCCGTGAGGTCGCTTCATGCCATTCACATTCCTGGTCTGCACAACCGGGCAGCCGACGAGCTGTCGCAAGCTGCGCTCCCAGGGGAATGGAGACTCCATCCCCAGACGGTCCAGCTGATTTGGAGTCGTTTCGGAGCCTCTCGGGTAGACCTGTTTGCCTCTCCAGAAACTTCTCACTGCCAATTGTTTTACTCCCTGACCGAGGGAACACTCAGCACAGACGCACTGGCACACAGCTGGCCGCGGGGTCTGTGCAAGTATGTGTTTCCCTCTGTGAGCCTTCTAGCACAGACACTGTGCAAGGTCAGGGAGGACGAGGAGCAGGTCTTTTAGTGGCGCCCTATTGGCCCACCCGGACCTAGTTCCCAGAACTAATACTCCTCATGACAGCCCCTCCTTGGCCGATTCCTCTGAGGAAGGATCTACTGACTCAGAGACGGGGCACCCTGTGGCACCCGTGTCCAGACCTCTGGAAACTTCAAGTCTGGTCCCTGGATGGGACATGGAGGTTCTAGGTGACCTACCCCAAGGGGTAGTTGACACCATCACTTCGGCCAGAGCACCGTCTACGAGACACGCTTACGCCTTGAAGTGGAACCTGTTCGTCGAGTGGTGCTCTTCTCACCGAGAAGACCCCCGAAGATGCCCAGTCAGAGTCGTGCTTTTCTTCTTGCAGCAAGGGTTGGAGCGAAGGCTGTCTCCCTCCACCCTTAAAGTCTATGTCGCTGCGATTGCTGCTAACCACGACCCCGTAGATGGGAAGTCGCTAGAGAAGCATGACCTGATCATCAGGGTCCTTAGGGGGGGCGAGAAGGCTAAATCCTCCTTAAGTTTAATAGTTTTGAAAAGTATGTAAATGTGCATAGTGGCTATAGTTGAGTTTTGATGTGTGTCTGTGTTTGTGTGTGTGTGTGTGTCTGAGTGAGAAAATAATTCATTTCATTTGAAAGATGTTTTAATTGAGTGTATTTTGTGCCAAAACATTGATAAATGATCCACAGTTTTGGTGTGTTTATGTGTGTGTGTGTGTGTCTGAGTGAGAAAATAATTCATTTCATTTGAAAGATATTTTAATTGAGTGTATTTTGTGCCAAAGCATTGATAAATGATCCACAGTTTTGCCCACATGGATGCTCTTGTGCTTTAGTGTATGAAGAGTTTTGAAAAAGTGACCTAAGTATTAAGAAATGGGTCCTAGAGATTGTAAAAACTGTAATTTACCCTCAAGACCCGTGTGTTTCCACACCCCCTGTGTTTGATTGAATGCTGTGTTTTCTGTCGTCTGCAGCTGAAGCTGTTTCATTCAGAGCTGCTGTCTCAACTCGAGCAGAAACTGGAGCTAGACATCAAATATCTGACCGTGAGTGCACACTACTGTTTAACTAAACTACCTACTGAATTCACTTAACAGGGGAGCTCAAACAAGTACACCCAGAGTTTGTCTTGTAAACCCTTTGAGTAAATTAATCAGTAAATTACTCCTCCTGAACTCTCTGAAACTTACCAGAACTTGATATACTGTATGAAAACCTTTGTGCAGGCGACGCTGAAGAAGTACCAGAGTGAGAGGAAGTCAAAGGTGGAGTCCATTGAGCGCTGCCAATCACAGCTGAAGAAGCTGCGGAGGAAGAGCCAAGCTAGTCGCCATCCCAACAAATATGGAGACAGAGAGATGCAGGTACATGTTTCTAAGGCCTCTAAATGATCAAACGTTGCTGTTAAACCTGTTTCACACACAATCTACTCCATTCCTTCTGTCGTCTGAATGATAGTTTTTTAGTAAAAGCTCTTTTAGTGTAATTGTAGAAATGTCCAGCTTCAGC